CGACAGATTGGAAATGGGCTTGAATGAGCTCTTTGCCAGACTAACTTTCAGAGCAAATCTAAATTTGCCGGAAGTTGTCTGGGTTTTCCCAGGCTACTCAGATGGCCAAATCATGGCCAGAATCTTATAGAATATGTCCAAGCACTAACTCCTTAGTCCCTACTTAAAAGTCTGAGAGAGAAAAAAAGGCTGAATAAAGCACAGGCATGAATATGCATTTCATTGATTGGACAAGCTTACACTTTCTACATTACTGGAATACATAAGTTATTTATTTCAGCCAGACACATGAGTGGCATTGTACATTAATGGGGCTTAGTACATTAATGCCATAACATGATGCAAATCTACCTACAAGCATAAATCATTCAGTCGTACTTCGTCATATGGTTCGATGGTAAGGACGAAGATCACAACCAAAATGAACAGTGCAGCTCCAACCAATCATGTGCACGACAACTGTGTTTTGTCTCCGTCTCATGTAGAACTTGGTTGCGCTGATGCCATCGCTATCATGTGTTAGTCTGGTTTACTTTTGGCTTTTGGAACTTTTTTGGAGGTCATTAAATAAAAAGCATTTGTTCACTAAATTAGGCAAAGACAAGAAATTAAAAATGACTCCTACGCCCATGAAAAAGGATGGCGCCATCAGGGCATGTGAAGAAATTTATGTCTGTAGTCTCTTGAGGTTTCCATTTAAAGAACAACCGAAAGGTCCCCAGTTACACACGTTTTCATCATTAGACCATGTAGGAGACTCAGCCTTCATGTTCAGCAGCAACAAGTGATGCATATGCAAGATCTAACTTGTCCTGAAGGTCTATATAATAAGCAAAATCCATACGAAATTAGGTCTGGTTTTCAATGAGAAGAGAATGTGAGAGTGAAACAACACAAAACCGTTGTCACATACTGTCACTATCCCAGCATGTGAATTTAAATAAAATGGAAATTGCTGCAAATTTTTCAAGTATAGCATGCCTTGGGGATTATACCCTATGATCCGAAAGACCTTTTCTCTAGTACTTAATTGCTTGATATGAAATGCTATCTTGGCTTGTAACAGCTTCTGTGTGATGCTGTAGCCGGTAGAAAAACCTATAAATGTCTAAGTGCATTAATGGGTCACGGCCACTTCAGGTTTCCTCAAGCATTAAAACAATCTGGATGGGTTTATGTTTGCATTGCATGTGTAACATGTGTAAACTTCTCTTAGATAATTCTGATTTCTTTTTTTCTCACACTTCCCTCCAACAGCGACAAAGCAGATGTTGAGTCCAGACACATGACGTGGAAGCAACCAGTGTTGCCAGCTTGACTGGTTATCCGCTCAATTAGGCTGGTTTTAAACAAGGAAGTCTATAATACATGGAGAGAGCTATCCATTAGCATTCCCAGGAAGAACGCGACCGGGACGGTGCCATCTTTTCTTCATGTGCATTCAGCTCCAGAAAGAGTCATAAGTGGGTTTTTTTTTTCAGTCCATACACTGCCTTAAATGTTTAAGTACAATCAACTTGAATGTTAAAGTAATTTCAACTTAAATAACATTAAACTGACTTAAAAAGTGTGTTGCATCATGTATAACTTAAAGTTTAAAATTCCTGAACTTATTTTGATGAGTTAAAGCAATGTGGAAAATAGGTTGTCATTATCAACTTTCATCATTTCATCATTTTTTTCAAATTATATTATCATTAAGTTATGACAACATGGGCCCTATTTTAACGATCTGAAACGCAAGTGTCAAAGCGCAAAGCGCAAGTAACTTTGTGGGCGGATCTCGGCGCTGTTGCTATTTTCCCGGCGGGATAAATGCCTCTTGCGCCAGGCGCAAATCTAAAAGGGGTTGTCTGAAGTAGCTTCATTATTCATAGGTGTGGTTTGGGCGTAACGTGAAATAAACCAATCAGAGCGTCATCTCACATTCCCTTTAAGAGCAGGCGCGCTTGTTCTAAAGCGGATTCCTATTATAACGGCGGATTTGCCAGGCGCGCGCCAGGAGCGGTTCACAGCCGAGGAGAGCAACGTTCTCGTCAGGGCCGTAAAACACAGAGAAGTGACATTGGGGATGGAGAAACCCACCCAAATTAACTTCTGTTAAACAGGCGTATGATAATTTGGGTAAATGTGTAAGCTACATGTATGCTTTTATAATAAATTGTCTATCTATCTATCTATCTATCATCTATCTATCTATCTATCTATCTATCTATCTATCTATCTATCTATCTATCTATCTATCTATCTATCTATCTATCTATCTATCTATCTATCTATCTATCTATCGTAATAATGTATGATTTGCAAAAATGAAAACTGCTGCTTAGATGAGAGAATCAAAGTGTATGCGCGTTGTGCACACGCTACATTGATTATGGCCAAGCATGCGCGCTTAAAATAGCATTATGAACAACGCGCAACGCGCCACTGACTTTAGACTAGGTTTTTTTCTGGTCAGTGGCGCAATTGTTTTATAGAACAGCAAAATAGCATGAGGGAAAGTTTGCGCCGGAACACGCCTCCTCTTTGCGCTGGACCGCCCCGGGGAGCGCAAGTGTATTTCTTAGTTAACCGACGTGCGTCTGTGGAGGGAAAAGTCCGCTTTGCGCGGGTGCAAAATAGGAATGATACATGCGTCAGTGTACAAAGTCATTTGCGCCGAGTGCAAGATAGGGCCCCATATGTTTTTACATTGCTTTAAATCTTCAAATAAGTTAAGCAGTTTAATGTAATTTAAGGTGAAATTACTTAAGTTGATTGTAGTTTTGGACCCAATTGACTTATATGGACAAAAACAGTTGAGACATTCTTCTAAATATCATCTTTTGTGTTCCACGTGAAGTTTTCACAGGCCTCAGTCATCTTTTTTGCTTTACATGCAACAAAGTCTAACAGGTTTGGAATGGAATTAGAGTTAGTAAATTATGGCACAATTCCATTTCTGTCATGACAATCTAAGAGTATTTAGCATGGCAATGGATATGACAATATTAATATGTTTGGTCTTGGCGGAATAGATCTGCTGCTGCTGCAGAGCAAATATGGGACTTGCTAATGATAATACACGCACAAAACGCAGCTGTGAGCAATATATATATATATATATATATATATATATATATATATATACACAGGTATAGCAGATCTATACAGGTGGAGCTGGGGAAGGTGGAGGGTTTCTGAAAGCATGCCGAAACTGCTAGCAAATGCTGACCAAGTATTTGAAGGCTGAGCAGCGAGCTTATTGGCTACTGAAACAGCAGGAACCAATCAGCTGTACCCTATAGACAATGATGTGATTACAGTGTATTGAGTTAAGGACCTATCAGTCTGCGCCATAAAGAGTTTCATGACAGAACTTTGTATGTTTGTGTGAACTGTTCCTTTAAAGGGGGTCGCACATTGGACAAGAAGCCCCATGCCACACTGTGTCACAATTAGGACAAAGTGCAGGTCTTGCACATTGAATGTGTTGTTCTGTTCGGGTGAGCTCAAGTTCAAAACAGTACAATCTACTCAGTCTACAGACAACAGTAACACACAAACGTTTTTGCACTTCAAGAATGAACATCAAGTTTCCAGGTTGCTGTATGAAACAGCACAAAATAAAAAAGTAAATTATTTAGGAAAATAAAAAAATTATTGTGAGTGGTGCTCTGTGGTGTAGCAGGTTTTTGAGGAGGCCTCTGAAGTGGTAGCTGGGCACATATAATGATATGGTTATTGAATGTTCTGTTCCGAATTGTCCATGTCCATTTCACAGTGTTCAGAGCATTACAAAAAAACAAAAACAAAAAAAAAATCATATTTAAGGGGGAAATCCCGAAGGCTTGTGTGGTCTGTGCATTGATTGGTGACATGCAAAATTGATGTTTCTTTTGGAACTGTTTTGATTGACCAATACATAAAATGGCCAAAATGTCTGAAGTGTAAATTACTCAATGTCTTGTTAATGAAACTGTTGTATAAAAGCAGGTTGTGGTACTGAAAAGATGCTCAGATGTGATTACCTGCAGCTGAACCATTTTAGGTTTAATAGTGGTGGTGCTTCATATGCTTTTAAATCGTTACAATTAAAGATCGATGAGAGATAAAATAGACATTTAACTGCAGGTGTGTGAAGACTGCTTTACCAACTGACAGAAAGGAACATGAACATTTAAACCACATTTAAACTGCAAGTGATCGCGCTCTTCCAGCTCGCGCTTCGCGATGTTTGTGATTATTTGCTGAAGTCTATTATTAAGCTTAAAACCAACGTTAAAACGGCGGGGGAAACTGCTCTGAAACACGATTATTCTAATTTTACAATGAGCAAAATTGTTATTAAAATACGATTAAATGGCTGTCTAACTTAATTTTGGAAATGTCATCAACTGTCTAGTCGTAGCGAGTCTCAATAATCTCGCGCGGTGTCCCCGTGGATTCAATTCAATGGGGTTTAATCTAAAGTAGCCTATCTTCGAAACAACTTTACAATTTAATTTAATTACTTTCATTTGGTGTATGCCAACTTGCAAAATAGACGTGTGAAAGTTACTCTTCGTGTTCGCATACGAAGCATAAAAAAATAGAGAAAAAAAAACATCATTCAGGAAATATTATTTTAGGCTATAGTTTTCTCTGGGTCTATATGGTTACATAACTTAGTTGTTTTGTCCTATCACAGTCTCCTGTATGATAAGAATGAGTTAAGCAATCAGACAGCCTGTTTTTAAGTTGTCTTTCGCAAGAGTAGCTAACCTACATTAAACCGATAGATTTTTAACTTTAGGCGTTACTTATTTTTCTCCCCCAAATAACAGTTTTATGTTAAAATATGCGCATATGATATCGATAACCTAAGAGCTACAAATGTCGCTTTTACTGAACTCCAACTTCCCTCTTTCTCTGAAACACAAACTAAAAGATACAACTTTGTGTAGTTTAACTATCCAGGACAAAACTTAAACTACTCGCAAAGGTCACAGATGAGGAATAAATCAAAAGTGTTTTACCTTTAGCTCGTTTAATTCTGCGAAAGTCCCCAATCTGCGATCCACAAGCGGGCATCTTCAGATGAACAAAACTGAATCCCAGTGCAGGATTAAACACGTAATCCAATCCTGAATGGATTGATGCGAGATGAATCCTTCGGAGAATATCAGTCTGCTCTTCAGGTTTGGTGTGACTGGTCACACGCGCGCGCACACACACATAGTTCCAGCGCACGAGCAGAATGAAGCGCTCAAAGTGAAGCTGCGGAGCGCGTGTCTGCATCATCATCATCATCATCATCATCATCAGCCTGACGTCAACACTCAGCCCATGCAGAAATACATTTGAAAGTACTTCATAATATTTATGTTAGTAACTATACTTTATCAAAATGTATGGATATTGATGAAAATTGTTCTTTTTTTTTTTTTTTTTTGGATCAGCCAGAAATCTTTTCTTTGAATATTCTCATTCTAAAAATATTTGGGAAGATCTACAAGATCTACATTATCATATATTTTGATTCAAAAACTGCTTCTGTAAATTTTACGATGAATCTTATGATTTTATTAGCCTTGTTTGAAGGTTTTTTTGGCTGATTTTCAGTTGTATACTGAGTCTCTCAAATGTATCGATAACAAAAAATGTAGTGATACAATTGTATTTGCTAAAGAATTGAAGTTAATTGAAAAGTGAATTATTATTTGCTGTTTTTTTCTTTCTTTAAGTAGTACCAATTACTGGTTTCTTTCTGACTTATAGGCTACCCTTTATTTATTTATTTATTTTAAAAAAAAAATTATCTTTCAACTATGTCCTATTTTTATTTGTCTCTTTTTCATGTATTGTAAACTTAAATTCTTGATTGTTATCTTTTTGGATGTCATGTTATTGTTGTAATTTGTTGTATGTTATGTCTAATGTCTAATAAAAAATAATAATAAAAAAACACTCAGCACATGCAGCGACCACTGCTAAATTAATTATACAGTTTACTAAAGGACAGCATCAATAACAGGCAATGAGACGAATGTAAGACAATTTAATGTAAAAATAATAATAATAATAATAATAATAAATAGCGCCCAAATTCTGCAAATATGATACTGTGACACATACTTTTATTTTATACATAGGCTAGGCCTACTTGCATTTTTTCTCTGCCAAGTAGTAACATGTTTACTATACACTGAAATTTTCACTGGGAAATTGTTTGTAACCTAAACGTGAAATTTTGAAGTAGAAAAACGGAATAATATATATTTTTTTATGAAATCATAGGCCTACTCCAACAATCTTTTCGACTTAGAAAAACTTAGAAAAATTATTTTTACAGAGTACAGATGAAACACTTTTTACTCTAGTATTCCTCAGGTTTATTTGTAAGGTCATTTATGTAAAGCACCATATTGTCCAAGAAAGAAAAAAAGATGCAAGACTCTGAACACACATTGCACTTTTGTGACAGCATACCCCAATAGCAGGACATTTTGCCACACTATATGGGGTAAGTTGTCACAATGGAACCTGCCTACGGAAATAGCCTTTTATACTTGTATATATATATATATATATATATATATATATATATATATATATATATATATATATATATATATATATATATATAAATTTCGACAGCTTGAATGCAAAAGGTAACAAAAAATACCAAACCATTGTTTTGGCCAAAATAAACTATTCCTAAACATTACATTGTATAAAACGAAAACATAAAATATATGTGACCACCTGACATTATGAAAAACACCCTTGTCCCGAGAACTCTTTGTTTATATCGGATATAGTTGACTGTTATCTGAATGTCAGTGTGGATTTATCCAACCGCTATATCAAACAAATGACATATGACAACACTTATTAGACACCGAAAGCTTTAATAAAACTGACTGGTCTCTGTTTTAAATATGATAAAGTGTATGACTGAATACACACAATGAATCTCTCCATTTAGGGACCTAAAGAAAATTCAGACAGTGCTGTAACTCACTCATCATATATACAGTGTCACGGCACACAATGCCATAATGTCCTCTGCATGTGGACATTGTCACGAAGGTATAAATGAGCAGGCAGGGAAGCGGATCTAAACGCAGGAATACTTTAATTAAACACATAGCGAAACACCACACATAACACCAACAACGACTAACAAAACACAAGTGTAACACAAGCTCTCTATGTACACATGGATGGAAGACTAGCTTAACAAGATAACAAGGGGGTGTGGAAACTTATCAACATGGAAAACTACAAAGAACTGCAAAACCTGGCACAAGACAGGAAATAACAAAAGAGTCCACAAACACACAGAGAACACATGACAAACATCATGTTCGTCAACCTAAAGATTAGGATATGGAAATATGCACCAACACAAAGTCATCGTGCAACAAACACGCTGTGAATGAGACCCGTTGCTGTGTTTCGTTTGTGGAAATCTGCTCCCCTCTGCTGTGTGATTTATTTTTGTGTGTGAAGAATCACTGGGAGGTCCATCATTACACTGAAAGCCTCACACAGAGCAACTGCAATGTTCGCTTAGTCACATAATTAATGTTAAAACCCCATGAACATTGCTCCTTCAGAGGATATGTCGGCTATATATATATATATATATATATATATATATAGTGTGTGTGTGTGTGTGTGTGTGTGTGTGTGTGTGTGTGTGTGTGTGTGTGTGTGTGTGTGTGTGTGTGCGCGATTTTTGAAGTAGCACCAGTTTCTCAACCAATGGCATGAGTTGTGGGTTGGACTATCTGTTTGTTTGACCAATGGCAGAATTAGGAGGGTTTGGAAACAATTTTGTTTGTTGACGCTAATGCTGACAGATGCTGAATTCGACATACCATCAAATGCATATACCATCCCAGTCAGCAACACAGTGTCGGCCCAGATCCACATGTACCAGATGTGGCCCGGATCTGGGCCGACACTGTGTTGCTGTCTGGGAAACTACTCCTATTTAAAAATAGTGCACTAGTAGTATACTAGTACGCAGTTCCGAATTCACCAATAGCCATTACACAATGTAGGCCTACTGTATGTGGAAAAATAGTTTTGTGAAGATTCTTTAACTATTCTCCTTTTGTGTTCAATGGAAAAATGAGCGAGTAAATAATGACCGAATTTTTATCATTCCCTTAACGTGTGACTTGTAAAACGTTCAACTGGACACTTCCAACAGTTCTTCCTTTAACCCTGACTAACAGCCTCCTCATGAAGCTCCCCTGACTCGACTCGACCCGTACGCTTTATCCTTCCGCTTCAAGCCATTCACGTGTAGAATCCTGATCACTTGCTTACGGTGACACCGCAGTAGTCGTCGCTGTGTGGGAGTCATCAGGCCCACGGATGCATCTGTTAGTGAGTGCCACTGAAATGCCAAGCATAAATAAATACCGCTGTCAAGGGTTATTGACCCCATGATGAGTGACTTTCCTACTAGGGAAGTATTAATAATTACCAAGCAAGCATGTTCATTTGAGAGGACAGGCTGTGTAAAATCATACAATGCATTTTCACTTGGATTCATTATGATCCAAGGGTCTGGAAGTACTATTTTGAAGTACTCAGTGTTCATTTTTCATATGTCCAGAGATGACTTTATAAAATCCTTCTGTTTATAAGGGAAAAGTTGCAATATATAATTCAGAGTCTTCATTTTTTTCCCCTTCCATGTACTAAAATGGGCGATCTCCTGGAATCTTTTATTGTTTTTTTTCCGAGTGTTCGCTGCGGTTGTCATAAGCGGTGGATTTCATTAAGCGGCGATGTTTTCTCCCCAAGACACGCACATCCATTTATCTATTGCTCATCGCATTTATCCACTGACCCACAAAACACTGAGACAGATGTAAGTATGATGCTGTCAAATAAAACACACGTTTGAGTCCTTGAATTTATGATCAAAAGAATGCTGGCATCCAAAACTCAGTCTTTCAACATATATCATATTTATTGTCATTGCAATTACTGTTACAGTTATTTGTTTGTTTGCTTACATTCCCGTTTTGATTTGGAAATGACTAAATTGTCTACTCAAGCCTGACCTACAGACCAATAACAAAAACAAAAAGCATCACAAGACTATTTATCAAAACTTGTTACATCATGTCATATTTGAGGAGCATAAAGTTGGCCCGTCTGATATTGCATCACAATGGAAAGACGATACACAACCTAACCTAATTAATATTCATGAGCTAAGCTTTTGCATTGCTGTGACACTGTCTGGCATGTCCCCACCTCCTCTTAAAACGAAGTGACACTCATGCACTGAAGGATAAAAAAAATAAAAAAACATTGCAAAAGCTCAAAAGACATGTTTTTCCTCTCCCCATGCAGCTCCAATGCCCCTGTTTACTGTTTACTGTTTACTGTGAACTCTGTCCCAATGCAAAGTTCATTGCCCAACTTTGAAGATAAGCTTTGGTGAGTCAAACGACTCTTGAGTAAACAACAGAGGTCACTTTTCATTCTTTCAGTGTTTCTCCCTATAAGAAGAAAGACAGTTATGATCAAACTTTAAAGAGCATGAATGATTTTTACAGTCGAGTCAAATGTTAACTGTCAAAATATCATTTATTTTCCAAAAAATCTATAAAATATGCCCGTGTAAATATATTGGGGAGGAGCTAGTTACATTGTCAACATTTCAGCAACTACAAAGTTCTTAGTCAAAAGTCCAATAACACAAATGTTTGCTTAACTCTATAGTAGTGGGTTTGGTTTCATGTCCAGCATTGGGGCATATTGCCTGAGTGTGTTTAATGAGATGTTCAGTAGTTTTATATAGCCAATTATAGTCAGGTTTTCAAAAATATATCTACTCTAAGAAACAGCATGAGAGCTTCATAAATATCATTTAACCCTTTGGTGCTTGTCCCGTGACGGTCAAAAATGACTTTTTGATGATTGATATTTAAGTTTGATAATGTTTTTTTATTTAGTATTTTTTGTCTATGTGTGTATGACCAGAGCCATAGAGAGAAAGAGTTGCGACACGCTTTGATGTCGCCGCGACGGCTGTCACGTGGTTCATGTAAGCCCCAATAGTTCCAAAACATACGCGGGCTGTCATGTTCTTCTATGGACAGACAGCAGCGATTGCATTATTAAACGGTAAATATAAAATAAAACACACACCCAAGTACTTTTTCAGCTGTTATT